GATAAGTCTGGGTTGTTTGTTTGCTTTGTGAAGATAAAACTTCATATTGTATTCAGAACTGAAAGCAGAATTCTTTGGGCTGTTGCATCCGCAGAAACATTGCCCTTTCTTGGCTTCAGGTGTTAGAAACTTTGCGGTGTTCTTTTGCCTATTTTTAGAGTGTTGCTTTCTAATACTGAATTGGACCGTTTGCATTCTACTGTCAAAAATACATTTTTTGCCCATAAGTGAATGTATACAGCTAATTTCTTTAGTGGCTTTTAGATGGAAGTCAGTTAAAATGGAAAATTGCTGTAGGAAGCTGGCGTGTTTTTAAATGCCATGTTTTAAGAGGAAATCAGGCTTCATTCCATTCTTCACTGCATGGAAAATACTATACTCCTTTCAGTAAACAGGAAGAGATGAGTATTACAGACTTTATTCCTTTTTTTCCTCATGAGTCTTTGTACTCCTATTCCAGTTGCAGTGTTAGTCTGCATTAAGGAACTTGAGTGTTGAGATTAAACCATTGTTTTTATATTTATTTTTCCTGAGACTTGCTTGGTGCTGTGACACTATACGTTATACACCATTTTTGTTGCAGAGATTTTAGTAGCATTACTTCATCTTGACTGATGTCCTTGACTTTGGAGTACAAGTGGAAAAATAGAGATAGGTGACGAGGATTGATTAGCAATCCTCCTAAGTGAAACAGTGAACCTGTCCAGATGAATCATGAGCTCAGAAGCCTGCGAAATGCAAGTGAAAGAATTAAAGGACTGTGTGTGTGTGTGTGTGTGTGTGTGTGTGTGTTTATGTTCAATAGATTTTCTAGAAGAACCACAAGGACACAAAGATTATATCTGGTTTATTTTACTGTTCAGTTTTTGCAAAAAATACTGGGAAGTTTTACTGAGCTATGAGGTGGTTTTTTTGTTGCTTTTCTAAAAGAATTTTTCCGAACTGAAGGAAATAGACCAATACTGTCGTTCAAATGAGTGTTAGACACAATAATATTCTTACGATCGTTGCTTTGTTGTCATTAAGCTTCAGTTGTATAGATGGAAGGGTTCTTGGGAGATCGCCTCATTCCTTCCCTTGCGCTTGTAAACTGTCCAAGCCAGGTGAGAAGTACTTTAGCATTTTAGTGTTCACCCTGCACAGAGCAGTGTTCTACGTGTGTTACGCAAATGCCTGTCCACGTACAGTGGGCTAACTTCCTGATAAACCCTTAGAGAGGTGAAAATGTCTTAAGTGGAAAATGCATGCAATACCCCTAGCCTCCCAAACATCGTGACTTAGCAGTGCATAATGGCTTCGTTACCCGTCTGAGCACTGGCCGCCTAGGAGCTATAGCTCACCGGCACAACCTGGCATTACAGGGAGTGTCATATCACATATCAGTAGCCCCAAAAGAAAAGCAGTGTGTAAATCGCTGTCTGTACTGAATGTGCATTATTTCTGCATCATTGTAAAGTAGGAAAATCAGGAGTTGGAAACTGTATACTTGCACGTTTAATTCCGACACACGGAGATAGCTGTTACTGTCTACACACGCACGCACCATGTGTATATGACGTCATATGTGACACGGAGGTGCAGCATCTCACCCCTGAAGAAGTGGAGCTGGAGTTTGAACCCAGGCACCATGTCTTTCCTTTCAGCCTTTGTGTTACCACCTGTCACTTGCCCTTTTTTCTCTCCTTTCTACAATGTTCACTGTCTGCATTTGACTTCTGTCCCCCTCACCGCCCATTACCTGAGATTCCTCAGCTTTGAGCTTCAGGCTCCCTCTTGTGTTTGTCTGCGTTCCTTTTCGTTTTCTGAGCCTGATGAACAACAGCACTTCTCCATGGCCCTGGCCCTGCTTGCTGCCCCAGTCTACTTCCCTCCAGGCTGCCGCCCGTCCCGCCCTCACGCTGTTTCTCAGTTCTTAACTTACGCTGCCGTAGTAAAGGCTTACCAGTTCTCAGGCAGGTAGTATTAGTGTGAAATCTCTTCATGGCTTCTGAAGGTATCATTTATTCCTGTTTGTCACATCTGTTTTTCTGCTGTATTTGCAAAAGTACAGTCTGGTCATAGAGCTTACAATTAGCGATTCCATTCTGTGTGTTTGCACACATGCCTCAGAGTTCCCAAGGTCTGTGAATTTTGACCATGATCGACAAACATTTGTGTTATATGTGCTGTCCACAGGCTTTATTTAAACTGGTTATAAAAGTGTCTTACGATGTGTCCTGGGGTCTCCTGGCTCTCCAGACATACTGATAGGAACAGGTCGCAGGTGTGAATTCTCACTGAGTATAACACTCCAAGATGCACTTATATGATTCATCTTAGCCACTGGTTCTGCTGACTTAATCCAAGGGGAGGAAATAAAGAATGAAATGCCATCTCCTACCCTCCCACATCACTCTTCTGTTACAGATCTTCCAGCCCCTTTTCTGTGTGGTTTATCTCACAGAATTTCCCCTCTTACTGAAGATGAAGTTGTGCCAATGAGTTTTCTGCTTGCTTGGCCAAAAACAGTCACCACCTGCTTACCTTGTACCCCGTAACACTGACAACCCTGAGATTCCAGTGATTGTTGCTATGTTGTATTAAGTAAAATTTTCACAGGATTGTAGCTTTAGGTTCAGACCTTTTCATAATACCATTTAATGTTTAGAGCCTCGTGTGATGGAGGGTAGTGGTGAGCATCTTTCTTGCTCATGCTGCTTCTTAAAAATTCTTCTCGTTATTGCTGCACAGGGCGTGTTTCTCCCTAGTGGCCCCAGCTCCCTTCCGGAGACCTCCAGACTTGGAACCCAGTGTGGCCACTCCAGTGCTGTTTCAGCAGGATCCGGACTACTCTCCCTGCTTCTTCCCTCGAAAACATTGCACATGCTTGCTGAGGTCCAGTCCGCAGTGTGCCCGGCGAGTGTGGCCGGGTTCCCTTTGCATTGACATGTCTGTATTCCTGAGCACTTCTGTCCAGGACAAACTTCAAGTTCTCCAGCTCCGAACAGAAGTGTCCAAGAGCAGAGACGTGTTTTCTTTCCCACTGAAGGATCCTGTTCTTGCCTCTGTTAAATCATGAAGATGTTCTGATCGGTCTCTTTCTCTGTATATCTCCCCACCTGACTACAATTCTCAAAGGCTGAGTATATAGTTCAGCACTTGGCTTAGTGAGATTGGATAGTGCTCATCTTTATCCTTTTATTGCTTTACTCTAAAAAAATCGTTCAAGGTAGGGCTGTTAGTATCAGTCCAAAAAACCTCTTGGCTTGAAGAAGCAGTGGACTTCAAACCTAGCTTTTTGAAACACAGCTACATTTAGTCCAGTTTCACAACTTTGTCCAGTGTGGAGCTGCATAAATATGGAGTTGCATTTAGTTTATTTACAAAATAGTCCACGGGCAAGGATCATCGTGTGACTAGAATAAACACCATGGCCAAGGAGAGGGTGGGACAGGGCTTACTGCACTGCTGAGCTGAGGACAAGGAGAAGACGAGCTGGGACAGACGTGCCGTCCGGACTGCCCCAAGCGGGTTTGGGTGGTCACGGTTCCCAGGGTTGTTAACAGCGATAGTAGCGGGGGTGAGTAGGTGTTCGTGCCTCAGAGTGGCACATGGAGCCTTGAAGCGGAAGGCGTGTGTAGGGTGACTAGACGAGAGATGCATGTGCAGAGACAGTGGAGGCCCGGGGGACGATGGCTGTGGTGGACGGAGGCGGCGGCTGCTGGGACAGTGGCAGGGGAGCAGGAGACGCCTTCAGCAGCCGAGGGCTGTAGCAGGGCTGGGGGAGGCAAGCCGCTGGGACGGTGACAGACGGGGACAGCTGGCGGGTGGGCACTGTGTGTGCTGTACGCGGGCAGCTCTGATGGACGATGACGTTGTACTTAGCCCTGGGGGGCTTGCTCAGGTGAAAGGCAGGGCAGCAGGTTTGGCTTAGCTTGCCAGGGAGTGGGCTTACGCTCCACATAATGCTGGACACACAGGACTCAAGGGTTGGTCAGGAATTAAGTTTATTTCCTCCTCTGCTCCCCTCATCAGCGGTTCAAAACCCCTCGTGTAGCTGAGTGTTCTGTTCTTGGATGACACTTGAAACAGACTTGGTTGCTTCTCTGGCTTCTCTCAGATTTGAAAGGAACAAACCACTTTGCAAAGCTCACACTTGCAGACACAGTCAGTTTGCACCACGAGGTCTGGTGTCGTGCGGCGTGATAAACGTGTCACTCGTTCAGAGGTCTGGCTTCCACCTCTTGCAGCTCCTGCTTGCTGCAGAGGGGAAGGCTGAGTGGAGAAGACAGCTGTTACAGGCTCCTTCTCCCGGTTCCCCCGACATGTCTGCACTTCCCAGCTTACCAGGAACACTGGGGTTCTTCCGAGCAGACGGGTGCTCTCCAGTGGAGCCAGGAGGGCAGGAAGGGCTCAGAGCGCGGACTGGGCTTGCCCTTGGTTTGACCGTCGGAGACGGTGCGCCGGACTCCTCGCTCAGTGGGCACTGCTGAGTTCTCCGGGGAGCCCCCCGTCTTTTCCACACTTCCCTCACCGGTTTGCTTTGGCAGGACTGGGTGCGAACACACTTCTCTTCCATCCCAGTGGTGTGCTGCTGAGGTTCGTTGCTCATTGTTCTGGGCAGCCTTAATTCACAAGCAGGTCACTCTGACTCTCCAGAATGGCTAAGTGGAAAACTCCTCCAGCCCAGTGGAGAGGCGAGAGCATGCTAAAGGCAGTACAGCGGAGACGAGGGACTTCACAGGACACTTGCCTTTAAGAGGGAGGGGAAGGCAAAGTCCCTGGCGAAGGAGGCCACTGTACCAAAGCGTTTGATCTAGGAAAGGGGGGACGATCCAGGAGTCAGCCCGGAGTTACGTCTGTTCATGTTTATGCCTCGGTTAGGGTGTGGAGCCTTTAATACGTTGGCTTAATTGCAGAAGGGCCCTGCACTGCTGTCTTCCTGTTTTGCAAATTGATGTTAATTTGACTTTAGAATATCTTAGTTCTCTGAAGACAAACTTCAACTCTTCTTTTCGCAGTTGTGTATGAACACAGATCAAGATTGGAGAAATCCTTACAGAAGGAAAGACTTGAACATAAGAAAGCCAAGGAAGGTAAACATGTAACGCGCGGGCCGGGGTTTTCTCACGCTCTTCTTGGAAACATCATGTACCTGTGACTCTGAGTTAAGCTAGTTCGCTTACCAGCTTGAAGCCAGTATTACAGGTGACAGGAAAAGAGGTGTCAAAATTGTAGTAGGCGTTGTGCAGTAATTCCTGCTCAGAATTTCATTTAGAGCACTTGAGGTGGTCCGTATATGGACCATACGTACTGTTTCAAAAACAACAACTTTTCATCTGAACATACGTAGGTATAGTACTAATACCTGGAAATTCTGTCCACAGATATGAAGGCAATATGCATTGTTCAAAATATAGCACTTGTAATACACACACAGACGCATGTTTATAATACAGTGAGTTGATCACACTATTGGGTATTTTTACATTAAATACCTGTTTTAATCTCTTAAGAGCTTTTAATGGTACAGCCAGTGGGTTCAATTTGAGTTATTAATGGGAGCGATAAGGCAGTGCTATTGATTTATGTTAAAACTTTTTTTTAATTGTAGACTTTCCCCAACTCATGACTTGAAGTTATCTGCATTCTTGCTTTCATTTATTCATGTTTTGTTATCAAGCTTAAAATTTAAGCGAGATGTTCTGTCGGAATGGCTTGCTTGAGTAGGTCCGTATTGGTTAGGGTGTTTCACTGACGCAGAGTGAGCCTGTGTGGGAGTAAACGTTGACAGAGTTGAAGTGCTTTGGGAGGACTGGAACTTTCCTGTGTTTAAATGCAGAGTGATTGTACAGAGCCATCTAGTGGATAGTGAAGTTCTCAGCACGCAGGTGGCTTGGCTGGCTAAGTTTCTGTTTCCCGGCCCTGAGATTTTGGTACGCCATCTGTCAGGGAGCCATAAGTCACTCTTGTCTTAAGATGTGCTCCGTTTTTTTTGTCCTCAATTTCAAAGACTCAATCACAGAGATATTCGGAATGCACTTTTCATCAGTTGGTTGTAACATGGAATTTGTTGATGCAGGATTTACAGCTATAAGGTGAAAAGGAGGACGACATAATATTTTCTTCAAGTCTCTGTAAAGCATTGAGAGGCAAAATTAAGCAAACAAATCACCAGGTAGATTAATTTAAGTGGAAAATACGTTCTGCAAGTCTGAGTAAAACATCTCTTTATTCACCTAGATTCACTCCATTGTCTCCATTTTGTTTTTTCTAGATTTCCTTGTTTACAAGTTAGAAGCACAAGAAACACTAAATAAAGGGAGGGTAAGGTTTTTCTCTCTTCCTCTTAATTTCTTTCTATTAAACCTGAAGGAGAGGGAGATGTAATTGCAAAATCTTTTACGGTGGTGATCACTAGGGTTCTAGGAGTGACATACTTTTTTCCTACAAGGAAGGCCTTAATATTTGTTCTTTTAAAGCCTGTCTTTACTTATCACATTATTGATGATTAGAGTAAATTGGGAATAGTATTGGTGATTAACAGGAAAGGGAAAATTATTTTTATTCGCCCTTGTATTCAATTCTTGTCTCTCTTCCACGGGATGCGTTACTCTTGTTTGCCTTGGAAGCACATTGTCTTCACGCAGGATCTGGCTGAACTGGCAGTTAGAAACATTTGTAGAATGGATGAAGGAATGATAACTGGCATTTGAAAATATTTTTCAAGTCGAGATGAACTGGAGAAAAGCAGGTCATTCTTGTCTAAGAAAAATGTGTAGCATTAATTGAATAAGAGTACTAAAACTGAGAAAAGTCAGGTTTTTTTACTTGCCTGGGAGGTGATCAGCTTTCAGCTTTTATTGATTTTTTTCTTTTTGAACCAGGAATTGAACTCAGGACCTCACACCTGCCAGGCAGGCACTGTGCCACTGAGCTAAACCCCTGGCCCTCTCTTACTTGATTTTAAAAGCTCCCACCCAAACTGTCTATTCTATTCTACAGTTTGTAATGTAATTTCCTTATAAATTAAAATAAAGTAGTAAAGCAATGAAACAAAATGATAAAAATGTAGTTCATTTTAGAAGTTGTGAAAATGCGAGAAAAAGTACGAGTGTGTACTTTCGTTGGTGGGCCAGAGAAAAACAGGAGGGGTATTCTACGAAGGTGTAGCAGCAGGAGAGGGAGCACTGCGGGGGTCTTCGTGTACCGATGGTTACCGGCGCGCCAGGCTGCGGGTGTGTGAGGCCCACTGTGCAGACGCTCCAGTGGACCGCAGAGATGCAGATTCAGGACGCAGACTCCGGGTCAGCCCCCGCTCTGCCGCTTAGTGAGGTATTCGCCCTGGACACGCACCTTACCCCTCACGAAGCTTGTCTCACTCTGTACAGCAGAGGCTCCTGGTGGCGAGATCTGTGTAGAACTCCTTGGCACTGGAGTTGAGGGAGCAGAGCACCTCTTGTCTTCCCTCCCGTGTGCTCGTGAGGCCTGGTCCTTGGTGACGTATCCCTTCTTCCCTCACGCCGAGCACCTGCACCGTGTGCTAGCCGCATGCGCGAGTGCGACTCCAGGTTCCTCCGCGCCTCTGGGCCTGAGCTCCTTACAGTAGGAGAGGAAGAACTAAGGTATCCTAAGGGCCCTGCCAGCTGTCATGTTATGATTCCATGTCCTCATTCGCATCACTAAAATGTGACGAACCTGTGAGAATATTGAAACTTCACTTCTGCTTTTAAATAAAGAGATGGCCCTGGTGACACCCTGGCTCAAGCATAGAATCCATTTTAGCTTACATGAGTGAAATAAGTGAAAATCTTTCATTAGGCGCTTGAATCTCTCTTTAGTAAGAGAACCAGATCAGTTTTCTTTTGGTAATTTTTTTTTTTTCAATTTACAGCAAGACTCCAATAGCAGATACAGTGCCTTGAATGTCCAACATCAGATGTTAAAAGTAAGTAATTTAAATTGTTCTTTATGAATGAAATAAAGGCATAGCTAATATTTGAACTGACTGATGGTTTTTGAAGTAATTGAAGAAAGTTTACAGAAAGTTGATTTATGCTGCATTATGATACATGGGCTAAAAACTACATATAGCTGCAATGCCCCAACATATTTATTATTTGTTTAGAGAGAACATAGTTGATATTATTACCCATTTTCTTATATCTCAAGCTCATTTATCCCTTTTAATTTTTTATAATAAAGTTTTATGGTTATTTCTTTAATTTTTCATAGTAGTTTTCCATGGGCATTTTCTTTTACCTTAGACATATTGGAAGCAAGCTATAGAACTATTAAAGTGCTTCCTTTGTGTTACCAGTATTTAATAAATGTGCTTTTGCCTACCACAGGAGTGTAATTTATTATTTAGAGATTCTCCTTCCTTAGTCCTTGAGTAGAACTCATTATTGTGTGTGTCGGGAAAACCAAAAATGAAAAAGAGAACAAATTGCTCCTTCTGTCAGGCCAGAAGAGATGAGCAGCAGGCCGCCCTGCGCAGCGTGCAGATCGCCACCCTCTCACCCTGCCAGGTCCCCCAGCTTTGTCTGGCGTTTTCTGTCTCCTGTGTCAGTAGGACACAGGCCTTGAATTGAAACCGGAACCTTTCCTGTTATCCAGAGTGCAGTGCACGACTTAAAACAGTCCATCCTTTTACAGGAAGATGTGAGACGGTAGAGCTTAGCGAGGTTGTGATTACAGTCGGGTTATAAGCTGAAAACCTCAGAAGGAAAGTCATGCAGGTGTCTTCCTGTATCCACTGGTTTTGCATCTGTGTATTTAACCAACCTCTCTATTTCTAAAGTAATGGGTGAAAACGGGGCACCTGTACTGCATTTACGCAGGCTTTCTCTTGTCATTATTTCCTTAATATAGTACGACAGTTTACATAGCATTACATTGTGTTAGGTATTGTAAGCATTCTAGAGAGGATTCAAAGCAAAGTGGAGGCTATGCAGCTGTTAAATAAAAACATTATGACATTAAGAGCTTTGAGCATCTGCAGATTTGCGTATCTGAAGGCTGTCACGAGCCGCGCCCTGCGAACACCTAGGGAGGCCTGTGTTGGTGGGGAAGTACGAGGTTGAAGGAGAAATTCCAGAGCGTCCGTGGAAAGCGGTTTTGTCATTAGCTTCACCGTATTTCTACAGCAACTCGAGTCTCCGGGGATTTCCCCGAATCACGCCTCCTTTCGTCTTTCATGCCACCTTCTTGTTGTTAGCACCAATATTAAAAATACAGGGGGAGGGCCGGGGGTCCAGCTCACTGGAACAGCGCCTGCCTGGCAAGCATGAGGTTGTGAGTTTGATTTCTGGTACCAAAAAGTAAATAAGTAAAGGGGGAGATTATTTTCTTACTTGTCGGAAGCAGAAATGCAAGGAAGCTTTGCAGATGGAGGGCAGGCTGTGGAAAACGAACACTGCCTGTTCGTCCATTCTTGCAAGATAAAGGCCGTGCTGCCGGGACGCAGTCCGGCGTACTTTAGAGAGTACACACCTCCGCCCGGCTTTTCGTCTTGCAGAGTCAGCACGAGGAGCTGAAGAAACAGCACAGTGACTTGGAAGAGGAACACCGCAAGCAAGGGGAAGACTTCAGCAGGGCGTTCAGTGACCACAAGCAGAAGTACTTGCAGCTCCAGCAGGAAAAGGAACAAGAACTTTCTAAACTAAAAGGTATTTGAAAATGAAATTAGGCCATCAGCAATAATACTAGTTATTATCAATTAGTAATAGTAATGTTCCAGGGAAACAATACACCCTTCACTGATTTGTGCAGATCTTGCACGTTTACCCTGTGGTCTGTTCTCATCTCTTCGGTGCACCCAGGGAAGCAGAGCAGACAGCTTAGTGAGTCCTGTTCTGTCTCTGGTGCGTGTGGCCACGCTGGGCAAGACGATTCTTCTCTGACTACGTGTTCGCCAACATTTACCGTCTCTGATTCCCTCCACGCTAAGGACCGTCAGTGTTCCTCAGTGACTGCTATGGCCAGAGTTGCTTCCCACATTTCTAATCATCCCCGGGTGGCAGAGAAGTTTGTGTTGCTTGCTGATAGGAACGCAGAAGCTCAGGCTGCCTATTCAGACCACTGTAAATCTTGGCTGGAATTACGAGTTTTGTGGCAATGGGCAAGTTACTGTTCTTATCTGTAAAATTGGGATCAGAAAAAGTATCAACTTCATAGGGTTGGTGTGAAGGCTAAATAATTTATGTGAGTGTCTAGAGTCATTATCAGTATTTGCTGCAATAACTGTCATCAGTATCAGCATCAAGAATTTTTGCAGCAGTATGGAACAAATTGCACCACTTCATTGAGTAGGTATGAGTTTTATAAAAAGAAACCAAGGCATTTTCCGATGAAATGCATATGTGCTAAATAAGTTCAGAGTATGAGAATTGGTTTTAAAAGGTATGTGGCATGTGCACAAGCCATGGTGAAATCCAGATGTGGTCTGTCATCTAGCCTATTGTATAATGCCAAACAGTTTCTGTGGATAGTGAGTTACATACTGAGATGTCCTCATGGAGGGAAGTGGGGTGCTAAGTACTTACACTGTTTTTGCAATGTTTTCTCTGTAAGTATTCCAAAAATAAGTAACCGTAAAAAATCATACAACAGTTAGTCACTGCAGCAATTCTAAAAAGCGTTAAGGTGGCTTTGATAGAATTGGACCAACTGTCAACAGTCTCCAAGAGAGGTGGATATGTAGAGTCCTTCGCTTGTTGGAAATAGGCAGGTGGTAAGGAACTGCGGGGATAACAAAACAAAAAAGTAAGAAAGACTAAACACTAGAAGGCCTCACAAGTCTGAAGGAAGAGAAGACCAGAGAGTTCTGGTGTCTGAGGAAGCTACAGCTTTGTGTGGAGAGGGAAGACACACTGGATTTTGGATACATTGTTCAGCATTTGCTAAGATGATCAGGTTCATTTAATGACTTAGTAATTCATTAAATTATACAAATAATAGGTAGAGTCATTAAAGAATGAGAAATAACATTTTGTGAGGTACCTGATCTCTGAGGGCCTACTTTAAGAAGAATACGTATTTTAATACTTTTATTTATATTTAGCAATAGTGCTGAAAAACAAGTTTTCTTATGTCTACTCTACTTTTCTTAAAAAAAAAATCCATGTGTAATAAAAAATTAAAAACTTGTGCATAGTAGAAATCAGAACCATGAAAAGGAGGACACATATATGTGCATTCTGAGTGATAGATGGTGCCGTCTTATCTGGTATGAACGTCTTGCTACCCAGGATGAAAAGGAAAATATAGTACATGTTAGGAGTGTAGGCATCGGAAAGAGAACGTATCAGTGACTTAGAAGGGAGAGAAAAACGGCAATACTTATGGTACCAATTGTTGGAAGCAGTTTTACAAAGAACCTGGACCAACCAAGTGTGGGTAGTGCCTTTGAGCAGTTTGCACATCAGCGCTTTTGTTTGATTATGACTGTTTACAAAGCTTAGGACACTTTGAGTTAAAGCATTTGTGATCAGTTCAGACCAGGGTGGCTAACCCAGGCATACAGTCTGATTACCTTTGGTAGTAGAATCCGATGCAAAGTCCAAATTTAGAGTTCTTGGAGAACTGGGGGGTACTGTGTAAGCTTAGGTGATTGCTCATTATCGTCATTGTATTAGCTGTCGTTTAACAAATACCTACCTGTGTCAGTACCGGGTGAGGCTTTTGGGGGGTATGATCTTAATTTTCATAGCAACCTTTAAAGTAGGCATGGTGCCTAGCATCATTCAACAAATGGAGTCAGCAAAGGCACAAGACCCACTGCCATTAAGCGTAGAATCTGAAATTCCTTTAAGAACTAGCTAAGTTGGTGTGAGGGGTGTGTGTTGGACTGAACCCGTGTCCATGGTCTGGTACGCATAAGGTCCTCTTGGGTTGCCAGTGGTGTCCTGCTTGTATCTTGGAGAAGATCCATTGTTACATGCAGCTGTATGATCCATCCCTGCAGCGCTCTGCTTTGTTCCTGATCTCTCCCCCACACCCACTCATGCATCTAGTATCTGCGGCTCAGGAAGGAGCTATGAGACCCAGAAAGTCTGACGGGAGAAGGCGACTATCATTTTCTTCCACACTGAGTGGAAAGTTAGGGCGTTGTCTGCAGGACGTGACTGTCATTTAGGGACAGTTTTCCTGGCACAGTCCAGGTCTGTGCTTGTTAGCACAGACGAATTATGAATAGCTCCTCCTTTCATTCTCAAAAGTGTCTCCCACTGGAAAATGAAATGCACAGCCCCATCATCACTCTACTGCATATTGTTCTCACACAAGACTTAGCCTAATATCGCCTGAGATTAGAGTATTTCTTTCTCCTTAAGCAGTGACAACTATTCAAATGTGGGAAACATCGTATAGGCCAACACGGCAGGGGCCAGAAAAAAGCGTTCATGGTGTAGCTGTGGCCAGCAGCTGCCATTATTAATATGCACTCTGTAGATACAAGGAGTGACAGAAAATTACCAAGAACATAGGAAAGTGGGGTCAGAATCTGTAAGAGGGACGCTGTTCCCTGAACATTAGGGCTTGGAAGGGCGGACTTTAGGACTTCACTCTGAATGTTACATCGTGGCTCTGAAAGGAGCTGTCCTGTAGCTGCTGGAAGCTGAATTAGGCTTACTCCAGAACTCACTAGTAAACGAAAGAAAAACGTTAGCTTTTTTCAGCAGATGAGTAGGGTTTCTACCTCCTTCTTGTGTCACAACTTGCCTTTGTAATTGAAGTGCCTTTTGGAGGCTGTGGAAATTTTTCATGCTCTGAGGAGAGTCTATACTTCCTGGTAATTTTATTTTTAATTTTGAAGAGTTTTAAAGCTGAGGCCTTGTAATTTTATTCTTAAGGGCTTATTGCCAGAAAGACTTCATTTTTACGTCCTGATTAATTAAAAATCCTGACTTCCATCTACAATGAATAGCTTGTTTAAATGTGTTTAAACTCCTGAGCCAAATTGTATTGAAATGTTTCGCTCAATCCATGCTATTTGGCAGTGTGAGATAGTTTTTGTTGATTCTTAATACTGTCAAAGTACAGAACAGATCATAAAACAGTGTGATGCTGCAGATGTAAAACTAATAGAATCAGAGCCCTGAGAATTTCAAGGCTTTACGTGTGGTTCTTCTTTTTGTGAAACAGAAACTGTGTACAATTTGAGAGAAGAGAATAGACAACTGAGGAAAGCACACCAAGACATACACACACAGCTGCAAGATGTCAAGGTACAGTGCAGTGGGATGTGCGGCTGTTCGGTGGGTACCTGCTTCACTCTGTAGAATGACTGCAGAAATCCACTTGACCTGCCTGGGAAAACCAGACTGTTACTGTGAGCTTTGTATAACTGGAGCATACCTGATACTTTTACCACTTTAGCATCGTAAAATACAAAAGGTATTTAAATCTAAACGTTTTCATGAAAATGTTTTTAGAATATAAAATTATTGTTTTGGTAGTTGGTTGTATTTAACAATATTTATATTTCCGGAGATTTATTAATAATGAAAGATGTGTTCCTTTGGTTTTGATTTCATTATAAGTTACATTTGGGTAGCATATTTTAGATTTTGGACTGCTACATAAATCTTAGTTTTCCCTCCCCAGTAATTTTGAAGTTAATAGCAACAAATAAACAGGCAAGTAACGTTTAGATAGTTCATAACAAAGAGTTTGTTTTGTGACGTAAAGCTCAACTATAAAATTCTTTTTTGTGTAGCAACAGCATAAGAATTTGCTCTCCGAGCATGAACAACTTGTAGTGACTTTGGAAGACCACAAGAGCGCACTAGCTGCTGCACAGGTTAGGAGGGTAGCGGCCGCTGTCAGTTCTTTTAAGTCTGCCTAATACTTCCAAATGCTTTGGTGCATGTAGTCTCTTACAAGCCAGTCTTCAGTGAATTTCTTAGGAAAGAGCTGTCCTAATTCTGAGAACAGTGCATGCTTTTCAAATTCATCTGAGGGAGTATTAAGCGTCTGATTATCTTTTGCCCTGGTTGTATGGTGCAGATGACTGTTTCTGCTTCTACTTGGCCCTAAGTGCAGTAGTCTAAGACTTATTTAAACCATAGAAATTCTCCTGTACATATTTTGCAACTGTCTGATCTGTGTCAACTCTCGGAGTGGGATCTGCAGCATGTTGTGGTGCTGGCCACCAATAAACAGTTGTCACTCTTTCCCTCTGTTCTTCCCTCATTTGCAGCATTCACAGCTACACACGCCCGTGGCGGGCGGGGCTATGTGGTTGGTGTTGGGTAAATTACAGAGAAGTAGAAGAGTCAGTAGAGAAGGGAGAACCAGAGCCAGAATCTCCGTTTGTTCAAGGCCTAGAGCAGCCCCTGGCCCAAGGCCGGTCCTGAGTGCGTAGTCACCGAACGGCCAAGGCCGGTCCTGAGTGCTAGTCACCGAACGGCCAAGGCCGGTCCTGAGTGCTAGTCACCGAACGGCCAAGGCCGGTCCTGAGTGCTAGTCACCGAACGGCCAGGTGAACAGACACGAGAAGTGGAGAGCTTATCAAACCGATACCACGCCGCGAGCTGCGCAGCCTTCTCACAGGAGCAGCGCGGGCGGCAGCGCAGTCACCGTGTTAAGCTAGATCTTCGCCGTTTCTGTCCTGGTTGAAGGAATTGCAAGAAAAGGGCAAAGTTACAAACTACCTGTGAGAATGTACACTGTTACTTCTCGTTATGAAATGATCAAAAATGTAACTTGTTGGGCCCTGCATCATCCCTGAGACGGTAGCTTCTGTGTTTGTGGGACTTTTAAGACAGTCGTTCATTGTCTTTCTGCTAAACCGTTGCTGTGTGGTAGTTCTTTTGCGTGTGTGTGAATACGTCGGCTTTAGAAGGTACTACTTCATTTCAAGCCTTTTTATAAACTTTCATCAAGTATCATTTTATGTGAGGCTGTCCTTTGTACTGTAGATTGTGACAGACTGCTTTGGATATGCTATGCTGTATTAACCATCAATATCAGGTTAAGCAACAATCAGAAAACCCATGAAAATAGAAGAAAACATAGCCAAAGTTAATTTTCTAGTAAGCACACTGGCAATATTACTGATGGAGTTCTGTAACAGAAATAGAAATTTACATATATATAGTTTTCTATTTCTCTAAATGTCTTTTTTGAGAGAATACTCTTAATTTTTCCTTGTCTTTTGAAATAGTTATGCTGTGACTAAGGTAATAATTAAAGCCATATGTCTTAGTTTGAGCTGCTGTGAAAACACCATAGAACAAGTGGCTTATAAACAGTAGACATTTATTTCTCATGGTTCTGCAGGCTGGACGTCCTAATTTAGGTGCCAGCGTGATTGGATTCTTTCAAGCGCCCTCTCCCAGGTTGAAGATTGCTTGTGTCCTCATACAATGAATGAGATGGAGAAAGTTCTGAGGATTCCTTTCATAAAGGCACTAATCCCCTTCCTAAGGGCTCCATCCTTATGACCCAGTGACCCTGCAAAGTCTTTATCTTTTGATACCACCACATTGTGAATTAGGATTTCAATATATGGATTTTGGAAAAACACAAACATAAAGTCTATAGCACCATACGGGAACTTTCCCTAAATTTCCTTTTAAAACAATGCTGTTTCAGGTATCTACGTTTTTCATGAAAATCATCTTCTGGATTCTGTCATGACAACTTGATGCTCAAATATAGTTAGGGATTTTATATCTTCATAATCTAGTAAGGTGTGTAACATTTTATAACTAGGTAAACCGAGGCCCAAGGGACATCTACATGGAGCTGGCCCATGATACATAGGTGACCAGAGCCATGTTTGAAGTTCAGATCTTCGTGGTATCTAAATGACACCTAATGCTTAAGTGTATGTTTTGAGACTTCCTCATCACATTACCTAGTTCTTGCCTGAGACACTTTAGATGATAATTTCTGGTTTTTCGGTTTTTTCTCAGGTACCGGGAACCGAACTCATGACCTTGCGTTTGCCAGGCAGGCGCTTTTTGCCACTGAGCTAAATCCCCAGCCCTAGATGATAATTTCAGTAGTGGGAGCCACGAGCCTACATTTTTAATTAACACCAGAAGCACAAATTTATTGCCTTCAAATTTTAGATATCTTGGAGGAGAAAGAAAAAAGTATAATCGAGTTTTGCGTATTCCATGTAACTCCCACTATGAAAAGCATCACTGTATGTGGGTGTCATTTGTTTTCTTCTGTGACCTCCAAAGTTGGTCTACAAGTGTTCTGATAGATTTTGGAGCTAAGGGCCACGACTAGCCATGCGGTACACTTTACTACAGATCATATGCAGGCACTACTTTGGCACGGATTCAGCAAACAGACTTTTCACTTGTGGGCACATTAGGGAGAAGAAAGCTGTGTCTCTCCTCTGGGGTAGAAGCACAGCGGGCAGCAGGCAGATGTAATGGCCGTAGGCCTGGCCGGTCCCAGTGCCACTTGCCCACTCTGCTGGGCACACTGAGGGGGGTGGCCCTCGCTGAGGGTCTTGTTCAAGGGAGGTTTCTTGTTCTGTTTTTGTGTTTGTGTGAGTGTGTGTACACACACAGCACTTCCCGGGAGAGCATTGATGGCGCATACGATGAGTTATGTATACACACTGTCTACTGGTTTTGTTAGAACCGATTTGTTTTCTACCTTTCCAGCTCTTTGTGTTAAAAATATACAACACACCACACACACCCAATAATACATGCACACAGGTGCGCCTTTGTGAGTGTTTCTAATCCAGGACCTGCATTATTGCCCTTATCGCTTTAAGAGGATGTTCAGAACTGAGAGATAAAAATCCAGACCCATTCATGCCTGTTCCACTACTTTCTCGTGAACCACAGAGCGCACAGACTGGGAAGCAGTCTAACAAGTAGGGGCCCTGTTGTAGTACAGACTGGCTCAGAGGGAGAGGGTGAGCCGAGCAGTTATCTCACACGCACGCGCACACACACGCACACGCACACACACACCCCTCCTATGGTTCCTTTCTCCTGAAAATGTTACTCAGACCATCTTGCTAAAAGATAGCTGCACTTGTACTTGTGTAACTGTGAATTTTTAGTAGATTTTTAATGTGATGAAATATTTATTGCATACCTATATTTTAATAAAGAAATGTATACTGGAAAGTTATTTGCACAAAATATAACTTCACTTAATATAGCACAAGCAACTAATATCTGCCTTAGGTATCTTTTCTGTTTCCTTCAACACTAATTCTAATATGCATGTGCTCAAATGGCTAAGCATGTCCAAGAAGAATAACCAGTGCATGAAACCTAGGTATTTTCCTCATTGGATGTAGGTGTAATATTTTTGTCTAGTCCTCTGGTGAACTTAAGTGCGTATCTGTAAATGATCTCTCCCTCCTCAAACTGTGCAATTTCTATGCAGACCCAAGTTGCAGAATATAAACAGCTGAAAGATACTCTGAATAAGATTCCAAGCCTTCGAAAATCTGGCCAAGCAGAGCTGCACAATGTTACCCTCACCCAGGTGGCACATCCTCTACAAGGTCACAACGCGGCAGGGGGCCAGCCGGCCGGAAAGCCACCAGAGGTAAGAGGCACGGCTTCTGCTGGTCCGTGGGAGGTCACTTGCCCTGTGCAGCTGTCAGGAGATGCGCTGCTCTCCGTACTGCCCACTCTTCAGAGCAATATTTTCAAATTTTCCTGCGTGTCAGTATCCCCAGTAGGGCTTATTAAAACACAGACTGCTGAGCTCTTGCCCAAGTTTTGGATTTGGTTCATCTGGGGGTGAAGCCTGAGGATTTGCATTTCTAACTGGTTCATTGGACTGGGGAGAACATTTCGACAACTACTGCTGCAGCTTTTCTGGGAAGGACTTGACTGGCTGTGTCTTTTTCCTGGGGGTTTATTTGTCTGACGGAGCGGTAGTATCTGAGTATTTGAAGGTTGGTTGATTTATTTTTTTCCTTGAGCAGGGTGAGAAGGTTAAATGTTCAGAAGGATACTATGTGACAGTTGGCCTGCTCAGGTGTTAAAGTCGATATACCTGAAGCTGGGGCAGTGCCGGGCCTGTACAATGCAGTCAAAATGTGTGTTAAAGTGTGCGCGTGACAGTGCCTGGGTGTGAGTGCTTTATCCTGCACGCAAGTGAGTCTAAGTTGAGATCTCATAAGTGAGAGATCACAAGTGTTGTCCTCCTTGTTATTAATTCTGAGTTATTTTTGCTGTACAACATGTAATAAAAACGAGAAGTGTGCTTATCTTTCCCCCAGCAAAGTCCTTTTTTAACGGCAAATGTTTGCGAAGACTAAGCCCCAGCTGATTGAGTAGTATACTTCGTGTGTGATGGTCTCACTCTGTGCAGAGCATTCCTTCATGGGTGGAGTCCGTGTCCTTGTGGACTCTGCTTCTCTCTGGGGGTGTCACGGTAACACTAGCTTAAAGCATGATGATCGGTCGTTTGCCTGGCATTTGGTTCTGCTCTCTCCTAGCTGGGCTGGTGTTTCACTGGATTAATCTTCTAATGGCCTAGAGCGTCAGTTTTTGCACCTGTGAGTTGGAGATAGTCGTTATCTGTTGTAACCTTCTTCACAGAGATAGTGTGAAGATACATGACAGCTGTTTAAAATCACTTAGTGCACTACAGAAATACTTTCTGTAAGGGCAGGGCAGTATTAAGTCATACTTGCCCGATAGCTGAGGAGTTTAGTAAAATGCTCACCTCTGGAAGTTGCCCTCACATGTCTGAGACGTGACTTTTTCTCCCCAGTTTCTTATTCCTATAGTTCCACTTCTAAAGTAATAGTGTTTCACACTTATTTTCACGTGAGAAGACAGTCTGACCAAAGAAGTAATTGTTTTCTGATGAAGACGAAGGTAGAAGGAGGCCTGACAGATTTCCCTATCAGTGTTACGTTACTGCTCCTTCCCTAAGTAATGGAGATTATATGGAGACCTCTGAAACCATGGGGAAACTCTCTTGAATCAACTGATTTTAGAGGAGTATTCTAAAATACGACACTTTTTCTGGTCTGCTCAGTTTTCTATATTGACAATACAAAATACTTACCAAAGACTGGCTTACAAAGGAATTTAATACATTAACAATATTTTATTGTATCTCAGATGGTACTATTTTAAACATGGATATCCATTAGTAATGGCATTTTAAAAAATTATAAAGAAAAATCAACCCAGTTACTCTTCAATTGGATCGTATCCTTTTTTCATGTAATTATTGGAAACAAAATTAAAATTGGAGAAAGTTTTATAACCATTTCATCACTTAGGTTTGAGAGTATTTTCCTTTTTATTCTAAGGAAAAGTAGGAGTTAGATTGCTGTGGAAGGAAAGGTTTACTTCTGAGATGTGGACGCTTACAGGTTTTCCTGACCTGGTTGCCAACTGTATTCTTACTGAGGTGAAATTTTGCTTAGACCATCTCCACTTTGTGGGTGAGATTGCACAGTGAGAATTGTGACTACTGCTTCTCTCTTTTTGAGTCAGGACAGTCTATATTTCTAGACGCCAGGATTTTGCTTTGGTTGTACTACCCGTGGTCATAAAGGTGTTGCATCACTGCTTTGAAATACAAGAGTGTCATTCTCCGGTGTGTTTGGCCTAGGAGGCTCGCCCTGGTGACGTGTGGCAGAATCAGGAAGCGGTGCCTGGAAGAGCAGAGGAAGTGAAGCCTTACACTCCCAGCCCGAAGGGGGCGGAGTTCCAGGCTGCCGCAGCGCACAGCCCGCACGACGTGGAACCCAGAGAGCCCGCGGAGCGCCAGGTGGAAGAGGAGCACAGAAAGGCCCTGGAAGAGGAGGAGATGGAGCAGGTGGGGCAGGCGGAGCACCTCGAGGAGGAACATGATCCGTCGCCGGAGGAGCAGGACCGGGAGTGGAGGGAGCAGCACGAGCTCAAGGAAGCAGCCAGCCGGCGGGAGGGGCGTCCTCGTGCAGAGGTGCGGGCCTCCCACCCCGAGTCCCCGGGCCGGGAAGCAGGGCTTTACTTAAACAGTAAAGACAAGTCCGCCTCGTGTATTACAGTCTCCTTAGGAATTGGAGGGTTTCATTAAGCGTAATGTGCATGTCTTTAAGTTTACTGTTGTAATATTAATAACAGCTACCGTGTCCCTCAGAAAGATGGTGGGTGACCACGGCGGTTGCGGCTGGTGTGTGTGTGTGTACCCTTCGCGTGGTGTGGTGCACAGAGGCTGATCCTCGTGTCCCTCGGACAGAGGGCGTGGGTGAGCACCTTAGCAGTCACTTCGCCAGAATGTGCTCAGGTCCCATCTTGAGATCTTGAGGCGGAAGAGGTTTTGTTTTTTTAAATACCAGGAGCCCTCTTCCTATTTATGTCGTGCCAGTTGGTGTGGTGGCATTTGCCCATTCACCTTCAATAGTGAGTGAAACAGCTTTTATCAAAAGTTGTTTACCGAGACGGCATGGTGGCGCACACCTGTAATCCCAGCGCTCAGGAGGCTGAGGCTGGAGGATCACCGAAAGTCTGAGGCCGGCCTGGGCTACATAGTGAGTTCAAGGTCAGTGTGAAATGCATAGCGAGACCCTGTCTCAAAGCTCCTCTGCCTTATGGGAGTATCTTATTAGGTAACTGTGTTTAACCACTTTTGGCTTTTAAAGAAATACCTGACCATTACTGTAAGCAGTGCCTTAGCAGAAACACCGAGCGCGGCGACTTTCCGTTCTACTGCTGCCTCTAAGCAGTGATAGGTCACGGCCTGTGGGGTGCTGGCGACGCCTACAACCCCATGCTTCGGGCTCAGAGAGACTCAGAGATGCTGCGGCCCCAGGCTGTGCGTGCGCCGGCCTCTCCCCGGGCTGTGGGTGCCCCGGCCTCTGCAGCTGCCCTGTGCGTACTTGCAAACGTAGCCTCGAGAAGCCTCTGCCCATCTGCGCCTTCCTCACGATGGGTGGCAGATTTCCCTTTAACTCTGCGCCCTTTCCTGTGCTCAGAATTGTGTGTGCTCTCGCAGGTAGGCCAGGGCAGGGAAGGCAGGGAGTAGTTCAGTGGAAAACAGTTCTAAGCATTGCTTACTGTAGTGTCCTTTAATCAAGTGGTCCTGTCTTCTTAACTATTCCTGTGTTTCTTTGAAGAGAATCAGTTTTCTGTTTTCCCACTGGCACCTGGACTTCGACATATTTTGGCTCTGCTAACTTGGAATCGGTGTGTACAAGCTGGAGTTAATTAGCATTCCTAGGCCTTTAACTCTTCATGGAAAAAGCCTTCGCCTCACAGAAGCCCAGTCAGTGTACGTTACAGAGCGCTTGGCTGTTCTAGAGCCCGTGAGCATAAAGTCAGCTGCAGTTTGAAACTGATTTCTAATGTTACGCGCGGTGCTCCATTTGAGCAAGGAGCATACTCGAAGTGTGCCTCGATGTCCGCAAATCGGGAAGACCGGGGCTGCCAAAAGAAGCCTAGGGCATTCAGAGAAAGCTGGGAAGCAGGAGGTCGCGGACTTCGCGCACACACCTGAAAAGCAGGTGTTAGAAAACCAGCTCTCCCGAGTTTGTTGTGAGACCAGTGAAGGCAGAACTCTGAGGGTTCTTTTGCTCAGCATCGACCCATTTTTGCTCCAGGTGCACCCTTCAGGCAAGCCGGTCACCAGATTCCGGTCCCAGTATGAGGAGCCATTGGAGCAGCAGCGGCTGGCGGTGAGGAGGGACGAGGAGGCCCTGCGGCTGCGAGAACGCCAGGAGGCCTTGCACCAGCAGCGGCTGCAGGGACACCTGCTGTGGCAGCGGCAGCAGCAGGAGCAGCAGCTTCTGGCCAGAGGGGCGGCCCAGCAGAGGCAGGCTGGGCGCGAGGAGGGCGGGCAGCAGCGCCAGGAGCAGCTCCGGTAGGCAGCCTCCCCTCCCCTCCCCTCCTCTTCCCCGTGGGTGTGCGCAGCCCCCCCAATTTAATAAACAAGTGAAACACAACTGTGTGTGTTGGTGGTGCGTGAACGTGAGCGGCTCGTATTGCTCATGCAGCCAAGATAGAATCATGACTTGAGAATGAAGTGCCGGGTATTTAATTTCAGATATAACCAGTATTTTCTTTCCTGTTTGGGAGCAATATGTAAGTCTCACAGTAACTTAGCAGGCTTTATGCTAACTTTTTATCCTGTCACTGAAAGATTTACTACCCTTTTGGAAAGCATATTTTTATTATTATACCCTGTTGTGTATTTAAAATTTTTTTCAAAATACGGCTTTTCAAAAAATGTTGAAAAATCTTACTACTATCTTGAAAAATAAATGATCTGTGTCACTGAATTTGAAATGTTTGTGCCCCTGACAGGCAGCAAGCTCACTACAATGCTGTGGATAATGATATTGTTCAGGGACCAGAGGACCAGCGAGTCCAAGAGGAGGAGGGCGGTAAGACTCTCCATGATGAGTGTTTTAAGAAGGTTACTAGGTAGCATGTCACACCAGTGAGCCGCCTTTGTGCAACACCAAGGAGATGAACGTATACCTGAGTAGGTGCAAAAAGATCTGTGAGCCGTGCTGCTTCGGTTGTTACTGAATTAATCTTAATCCTCTCTAAGAGTGCGTACTGGTAGCAAAAAATGATCAGAATAATCTCTGTCCTCTGTAACGTTTTCTCCATAGTTTAGTCTTTCTGTATATGAAAAAGTTACTTCTGGCAAATCGTCTAAGATTATTATGCTTTGGGGAAACTCCTGCATTTTCTTCTTACTTTGGGAGTCTCTGCATCATGGTCTCAAAAGTTTTTATTTTATTTTATTTTATTTTATTTTATTTTATTTTATTTTTTGTTTGGTTTTTCTCCGGTACCGGGAACCGAACTCACGACCTTGCACTTGCCAGGCAGGCGCTTTTGCCGCTGAGCTAAATCCCCAGCCCCTCAAAAGTTTTTAAATTAAATCAAAAATAGCTTTTCTCTATGGTAAAGGTCCAGGATGTAATTTATCAAATGTTGCTGGCTGTGAACAGAGCTAGAGAGTAACTGTCTCCCTGGCACTGCTAGTGCTTGGATGGGTATTGTTTTGTAAGGGGATCTAAAGGAAGGTGATGCCCCAAACTCCTCATCAGCTTGTGATATTTTGTAGCCCTAAGAGCCAAGAAATTGTTTTCCTGTGTCCCCCAGGAGTCACATTAAACTCTTTCGTTCTGTTATCGGTAAGATTAGAAAAAGTTTTTCCCTTCTTTGTTTAATAAATTCCTCCGTGCACTTGTGAAGTACCCTCTGTATTTTCTTAGATTGAACACTGTCCACATACTTAACCTCCCCTCATTTATCTTACATCCCCACAAAAGCACTTCGCTTTTATCCTCGTGTGCTGTTACAGTTCTCGTCGTCTAAATATGTTTCCCCAGAGCGGCAAGAATCACCTGCACGCGCGTGAGTGTGTAATGTGTCCTGTTGTGGCATCATCATCGCTGTCCTCACGGGCCGGGTTTTCTGTGGTGAAGTGCTTCATTTTACTCATTTAAATTTTAGTTGTAACAAAAGAAAAATGTCAGAACCAGCTTAGAGCTGAAGTGGTGCAAGAGCCAAGGGCAAACAGTTTTCTTTGGACACCTAGAAATTAGAAGTCGCTGTCCCCGTTCTCCAGAGGCCGAGAGGGTGACCAGGAGCCAGTTAAACAGCGCCATCTCTTCTCCCTCCACCGACTCAAACGCAGCCTTCCGCGTCTGATGGAGACTGTTCTCAGATTCAGCCTTTTCCAGCTGGAGCGCCTCAGACCGAGCAGCCAGCAGCACATCTGGATTGTGAATGCCTTGTCCAAAAGTGTGTCCGCGGAGCGAGCCCCTGGGCAGAGTTGGGTGACTGCGGCGGGTGCATCTGAGCGTCCCTCTGGAAATGACCTCCAGGCAGGGCTTTGGGGTCTGCCCACCTTCTCTGCACTCCCCAGTGTGCCGTGTGTGCTGGTCACAGCTCCAGCCAGGCCTCCTGTGCTTCAGGGACGGGGACTGAAGGTCACGGTGCTTCTGCCTCGCTTAGGCCGGAATTCATCTGACGCCAGGGCAGTGAGCGATGAAGCAGCCCTGGGCCGGAAGCCGGCGGAAGAGTAGATTCCACCCTTTCCCAGGCTTCTTTGCTGACCTCAGGCCTGTCTTGGCCGTTACGTCTTTTCAGACTGTCTGTGCCATTGCTGTCATCAGAGCTCCGCAGAGTCTGCGTTTAGTACTTCCCTTGTTGGGCCAAATACCTGACAGCATGACTTCGGGGAGGTGCAGTTTATTCTGCCTCCTGTCCAGTCCGTAGTCAGCCGGCTCTAAGCTGGGGCAGCATGGCGGGGGCCTGGCGGGGAGGAGCTGCTCACGGCATGGCAGGGAGCAGAGAGAAAAGGAAGTACGCGCTTCCCAGGCCGCGCTCCTGATAGCCCGTCACGCACTTCCCAACGCCAGGCCAGCTGTTACGGCCCCGTAAATCCAGTCGCCTTCCACAGGCGCTGCCTTTGAGCGTCTGAGGCTTCGGAGGGACGTCCACACACAAAGCATCACGGTGTGGGAGGCAGCTCCTTGGAAGGAGCTGTGCCGGCTCTTGTCTTCAAAAACGAGCGCTGCTGCTTGTCCGCGTCCCGGGAGACCTTGCCGGGGAAGATGCGTATAAATTTTGGAGACATCCACAGGTTGAGTTGCCAGACACGACCCCCAGCAGATACTCCGCTGTGTGCAGTCTGTTTTTTGTCTGGTTGCAAAACATAGGTAGATTCTCGAGAGGAAGCCGGAGTAAACGAGCGCGGCAGGGAGGTGGTCTCTGCTCCCTGCTGTGATGGGTATCCCTCAGGACTGTGCAGCTGCGGTCATCTTTACTTAGCTGCATATTTCTGTGGCTCTAAGGTAAACACCCAGAAACGAGAAAAAGAGGCGTCCCTGGGAGAAGTGAGGTGTACCCCATCCCACCCCATCCTTGTCGGGTGCTCTGCGGCTCTCAGCAAGCCCTGCTATCACAGTGGTGGGTGCTCTTGCTGCAGCTCGGCCTGGGGCGCGGCCTCAGCCCCCGGTGAGGCCCCGGACAGCTGGCTGAACAGCGCCTCGCTGCCCGGGGTTCCCTGCAGTTAACAGGTAGAGTTTCTGAAATTGAAGCTTTTCTTCTGTCTCTCTTGAAACGTTTTGGAAGAACATAGAAATTACTAAACAGGCTGATGCAGAAGAGGCTGCCGCAATTCATGATAAGGGTGGGGTGGGATGGGGTAACTTCTCCCAGGGACGCCTCTTCTTTTTCTGTTTCTGGGTGTTTACCTTAGAGCCACAAAAATATGCAGCTAAGTAAAGTGGGAAAGGGCAACTTCAGCAGTGTTTTATAGTGTTCAGTTCGCATCTATACTGAATCTGTTCCTTGCGGTAAGCGGCGCGGTGTCGCTGTTACGTCCCTGTCTTGCGGTGAATGAGGTGGTGTCACTCATTTCAGGGAAGCTTTTGCTGAAGTCTTCTCATAGGCCCGGTGCTCTCACAGGCGACATGCTGCCGTCAGCGAGAGCACACTTTCTGTTCACTTTTTCACCCATAAATTTAATGCCTTTTCTGTCGTAACGAAGAGCGTATCACACATTGTGGGTGTAACTTTTGCCGTTTGAGGTGTGACAGCAAAACTAGCATGATTTCTTTTCTCTTCACAATTTCACAGAGAGAAGATTCATTCTTGCCACAGATCATAGAAACCTTAGCACACAGTTTTTTTCTTTCCTTTGAGAACTTTTACCTTTTCACTTTAAGGAAGCGCTATTTAGCTTCTCTTTGGGGACATCTGAAATGCCAGCATCCCTACTCTTGCCTGTTGGAACCATTTTTAGGTAAAATAAGAGATACGCGCACTCCAGCTGAGACAGTGGGTCTCAGTGTGGTGACTCCTGGGCCAGTAACATACACGGCGTGGGTATGCCAGACCCAGACCGAGGTGATTCCCCTCCCGGGCTGGATGGAGCACACAGTGTGGGATTTCATCACATGACTCAGAACAATGCAGAAATTAAAATTTATGAATTACTTGTCTCTGGAATTTTCCACTTACTACCTTTGGACCGGGGCCGACTGCACATAACTAAAAGTGCAGAACCTGAGACCACAGACACGGGGCAGCTGCTGTGCTCTCGCGGCTTCTGACTGCTGCGTTTCCAGAGCGGCTGGTTATCAAAGGAGTGACTGGACAGCTACAGGAGACCATGAGGCCCAAAAACCAAGGCCCAAAAGGCATTTGACAGTGGGCGCCCCTTAGCCCCTTTCCCAAGGCCCGAAAGACTGCCAGTCACCTTCAAGGCTACGTCCAGCCGAGGTCCGCACCCCTGCCCTCCTGGCTGAGGGTGGGTGGTGAGCAGCTGGGCTTAGGGGAGGTCCAGAGGCCGGCAGGGGAAGGCGGGGCGCTGCACTGGGGCGCCACGACCACCTGGTGGCGCGGAAGTGTCCCCCACATCTGTGAAAGGCGGGGAGGCGGCAGCCCGTGTGCCTCCTGAGACTGCAGAGGAGACTTGTGTGCCCAGGGCTCGGGTGGGCACAAGGCCTGGCAGGCACTGCGGAGGAGACCGTGCCGCACCCACCCTGCCCCCGAGCTGCGCTCGCTGGGCTGCGTGCGGTGCTGTCTGTGTCTGGAGTTCCACCACGAGGGGTTACTTTTTTCTTTCATTTCCTAGTGGCATGGCTTCTTTGAAACTTGGCGGTCTCCTCTGGTATTAACAGAAGCTAGTGCATTGTTGAGCAGCGTCCAGTGGCCTGGACTTTGTCAAGTTCTGATGATGTTCTCTTGTCGAACATTGGGAAGAGTGCAGCTTCTGTCACAGACGTTTGCTTTACTCGGGTGGGGGGGAGTCTCTCGCACAGACTCTTCAAAGCCGAAGGCTTGGAAAAGGCCGAATTACTCAGAACAGCGGGGCGCTGTGCACGCGTTCCCCGGGCCAGGGCGGGGGTTCGGGTGTGGTCCCCAGGAAGGCCGCTGTTGGGGTTACTTAGAATTGGAGCGGGAGAATGCTGTCGCATGCACTTGGGGCTGATCTCAGTTCTCTGATTTGTTAGCCTACGAAAGGGAAAATCACCAAGATGAAGCCGAAGGAGACCTCGGTAACGGACACGAGCCCCATGAACAAGGACCCCGCGAAGGCGACCCAGACTCTGAGGCCGATGTAAGTGCCCTCGCTTGCGGTCCCGACCCTCGGAAACTCGCCAGGCGGGAAGGAAAGGGACACTTGTCTGACTCAAGCCTCTGGCCCTAGGTGTGTGTTTCATTTCACCAGCGCAGAGGAAGGCAGCTTGCACAGTTGCAGTGAGCGGTAGTGTGAACCGTGACTCGGACGCAGGCGGGTGAGGTGGAACTGGGGAAGGTTTCCCTGAGAAAGGAAGGAAAGACACGCCCTTCGGCAGCGTTCCACCGAGTAAACTAAAACCTAGGAGAGCAGGACGGAGAGGACTGAGATCTTCAGTTCCTCTGAATGATGGAGGAAACGGGGAGGGCGAGTGTGGAGGTTGGACCTGAGACCAGGGACAGGAAGCTGCTTGTCCCAAGCACTTGAGTGTGCTGCCGGGGCCCCGATATGTCACAGGAACCGGTAATCTCCGGCCGGGCCGGCTTCACTACTCGTGCACAAAGAACCCGTGGTTTCAGACAGGAGCAGCGGTGCTGAAACACCGTGGAGGTGTAGAAAGTTAGGTGTACGCAGGGAGACACACAGGAACTGGCGTTGTGTTTCGTCTTTACCTGAAGGGGAGCGAGATCTTCAGCTCTTCAGTAGGTGAAGGCCTGGGCCTTTCCCCCGGGCGGGGCAAGCAGGTGGTAAGTGAGTCAGGTTAACCATTTTCAGGTTAAGCGTAGGTTTATTTTAGTGCTGCTATCATCTTTGCTGATCAGTCAGCCTTCATGTTAGTGACATTCCGTCGGTGCTGTCACACAGGCTCTGTGTATGTGTCAATCCAGAGAATTCAGAGGAAGGCCCGTGTCTTTCCTTGGTAATTGTCAAGAGCGTCTTCCTGCTTACTACTTTAAGTCCTTTGGTGGAAGTAATTTTTTCACTAACTTGCACTGGGATGTGGTAGAACACCTTTCCTGGATTAATGTTTGGGAATGTGTCCAGGAGGGAGCCTGGCCCTGAAATGTTTTCAGGAAAGAGCAAGAGCTAGCAATAGAACGTGAGAGAGTGAGAGGATGCCCTGCAAAAGCGCGGAGGCAGGTGTGTGACGCCTGTGCGGTGCGTGGGTGAGTGAGGAAGGGCCGGGCACGACACTGGGGTCGCTGGGGCTGTGAACTGCCGTAGGTTTTAGTTATTGGCCCGCGTGATCCTTTACTCTCCTGCTGTTTGTTCTGAGAAACATCCTAGGAAGTGCTGGCCTTTCTACCAGGCGTGCTTTTAAAGAGAAATTGTTAGCGCTTAGCCATTTAATTAGAATTGTTGGACCAACTTGTCCCTTGCTGTCTTACCTATTTTAAATTAGGCGATTGTGCCTGTTGGCCCTTACTGATGATTTGGTTGGAGTTGGTGCTAGTGTGTACATTTTTATGAACTATAGCAAAAGGTATTTAGTATGTTTTTCTGAAAAGAAGAGGTTACAATTCTGTATTCTCACATAAGTTACTGATACCGCTCAAACGGAAATCTGTACCAAAGAAATTGTGGAGTAGGGTTCAGCGTGAAGGCAGAGACGCGCTCCTCCTCGGTCCTGAGCAGAGTGTCATTTGCACTTGAATGAAGCTCATTGCCGGGGAGGTGCAGATAATAGATGCGCTGAGACTGTAAGGAGTTCTTGGACGTGTTCCCGGCTCTTAAGTGAACTGAAGTAGAATCTCCTCTGGAGAGCAGTGAGGGAGACCGAGTCCTGCTCTGCCTCTGCGGCTCGTGGAAGCAGTTGTCACCTCAGTGAGTGACCCATCGATGACCTGGAAAGGGTTGGGGAAACTCACCACAAACATTGCCGTTTCTGCCCACTGCAGACGTCAAAAGCGGAGTCTTTGTGAGAATTTATATTATTTGGGAACTTAAGTGGAAAACTGAGGTAATTCTAAAGTGGACATTTGCAGAGCATTCGTTGAACTCAGTAAGTGAGCACTTCCAGGGCAGGGCTTGAGGGTGTTTTCTACAGCGTGTCCCCGAAGACTGGGTAGCTCTCTCTTCACCGCTTGCGGTGGACAGCTGTCACTTCCCTGGTAGTGTGTGCTGGTGGAGCATTTAGGTCCACACTGCGGAAGGATGGCTTACCTCAGAGTGAGCCCTCTGCCTGCCTGTGTCTTTTCAGAATGTCTTCTTACGTCGTTTCTGGTTTTTCCTACCATCTGCTTTCATCATCCACCTTTCACGAGTTGCTCACGAAGCCAGGCTGTCTGTATGAAAATCAGTGCAGCAGATAAAGGAGCTGCTGTTTGCCCATCTAAATCTCGCAGCCTAATTTATGTGGACGTTTTTCTCCTCCTTGAGCCTTTGAGTCCTCCTGGCTATTTTTCTTGTCTGTTCAGCTTTGCTCATGTTACTTGTGCTGGCAGAGCTTTGCGGACTCTGGGAATCCCGTGCCGAGAGGGAGTGTCACTGGCGCTTCTTTCTGATGTCCCCACCTCTGATAAGTAAAGCGGGAGTTTATCTTTGACAGTGAGGTGCTTGACACTTGCGAGTCTTGGCCGGGATCGATCTGAACAACGCATGGAGAACAGTTGCACTTTTTGTCAGTGTGTGGCCTTTGAAATGAAAACAAACTTTGTCCTCAGTTTTGAAGTGTTGCTTTTTATTAAACTTCCATAGAGGGCAGCCGTAGAGGACATAAACCCGGCAGACGACCCCAACAATCAGGGTGAAGATGAATTTGAGGAAGCTGCGCAAGTGAGAGAAGAAAATTTGCCCGATGAAAACGAAGAACAAAAACAAAATGATGAAAAGCAAGAGAATGCTGAGATGGAGGAACATTTGGTGGTAAGCAGCTGCCACTGCCGGGGGTGGGTTTAGCCTCCGTATTTTAGTGAATGGCTGGCTTGAGTAAAAGGTTAGGGGTAACCTGCGCTGGGAGAAGGCTCGCCACTTCTGTGGGTTTTAGGCCGCTGTCTGAAACGCTGTGCCTGCACCCAGAGGGGCTGGTTTGGGCGTTCGGTGCTTTGTGTTAGGAACGATCATTCATTTCCCGGCACCGCAGGTGCACTTTCCATGGTGGAGTGCTCGCTCTTGTCCGTGGCACTGTAAACGGCATCGCCACTGGGCAGTAACGTGACCTCCTTTTGTCTCCACAGATGGCAGGAAACCCAGACCAGCAGGAGGATGCTGTGGATGAACAGTACCAGGAGGAGGGCGAGGAGGAGGTAGTGAGATTGTAGGAGACTCACCAGACTGGCGCGTCTGTCACGCGGCCCTAACTGGACCGCAGCACTGTTGGCTTTTGATGTGCTTGCTACAAGAACGTTCACAAAATTTAAGCAGGATGAGGAGGGGTGGTAGAATTGTGTGGTCACAAGGTGACATAATAGAGTGCTCTTTGGTTCTTCTCACAGTTTGGAATGAAGCAGACAGTTGGCTTTCTAAGAATTACATTTCTGTGTTCTTTAGAACGTTTCCCTATCTCTTTCCTCCATAAAAGAGAGTAGAACAGCCCTGCACACTGAGGAAGTGCGGCTGGCCCCCGCGGCTCCCTCAGTGGCAGCTCCCCTTGCCTGCCTCGGGGTACCCGGCGTCCGCTGGAACCCAGTAACGTCCTTCAGACATTCCGTAACTTTCACAGTTGCTCCTCGTGATCTTTCCTCTCAGAACTCAGCATCTTCACGAAATCGAACGACGACAAGGGCTTGGCATGAAGCTTGGTTGGAGCGTGTCTCCTTGGCGGCCCTGAGGCCCTGGGTCATCTCAGCCTGTAGGAGAAAAGTACAACAGTGGAAAGATGGGAAAATCTGAACTGAGAAGGGAGATGTGGACTAAGGAGCTGGGATGAATGAAATACATTTACATGGGATTTTTAACGTCTGTGTTAACTTGGTTTTTACTGTGAGCTGGCGTGCTCTTGATAAGTAGGTCTGTGCAGCGTCTGTCATGTGCCACCTTCCTGGGGTGGTCACCGAGTGGGCGCTGGTCCTTCCCACAATTTGCCGTCGTTCTCTCCAGTGTGGACTGCTGCAGTCCTCGGGCGTGCGAGACAGATCAGGCTAGCACCTCATGTTCAGTCTCTGTGTAGAGCAGTGAACCGTACCCGAGTTAAAGCCGTGGTTCCGGGCCGCTTCTCAGCCCGGAGGGCCGCAGCTCTGTGCTGGAGTGGAGGCTCCTGGGAGGTGGGCGCTTGGCCAGCCGGACGTTTGAACGTACTGCCCCCTGGCAGTCCGGCTCTGAACGCGTGCATGCTCACACGCACACTGGGCCCTGGCCGGGCCGGCTGCTCCTTCCTCCTCCCCTGGTCGGCTGTGCAGAGCGGAGATGTGTGCTTGTTCAGCGGGGCAGAAGAGGGTGTTCGCCTTTACCCACTGACGGCATCCGAGTGATCTGTTCTGACGGGCTTGATCTTTCTGTTCTCTTTTCTCATCCGGCTGTTCATCTTCATCGAGCCCTGAGCTGCCTTATCAGAAAGACGGCATTAGGGAAACCGGCAGCCTTGAATATTAAGACATTTGGCAAGAAAAAGATATTCATCCAGCCTTCTCTTGTAACAAGAAGTCTAGACCAATATTACTTTGTTTCATTATGTCAGATACGGGAATCTTTGAGGGATTAAGACAAAAAGGTTCACTTTGGCTTCTTCTGAAAAACTCAGAAGGATAAAATAAAAGTTTAATCAGTGTTTACTGGTTCTTTTTCTCCTGGATAGTATCGTCGGCTGTGGTGGAGGAGAGAAATCCTGGGATGAAGGAGAGAAAGACTGGAGGCGGGAGGGTGTGAGGAGCGGAGAGGTTCCCGGCGGGCGCAGCCTCAGCTTAGCAGCCGCCCCGCTGCGACCGCCGCGCCTCCACCTCCAGTCCACTGACCGAGAGGAGCTCTTCCCTCTCCTTGCACTGCGCCCCGAGTCCCGCTCATTTCACCTTGTTGGTTTCCTGCCTAGAATCTTTGTAGCAGGGTTTGTGTCCCCAGTTCTCACTTCCTCTGTGGGCCCGAGGTGGCCTCCCTGGCACTGCGGATCGCTGCCCCGAGAAGTCCGTGGGAAGTCCAGTGAGCCTTTCTGCCTCCCAGCGCGCCGCCTCCCCGCCCACTTGTGCAGGCCGTGTGGGATGTTTCAGGTTTTCCCGGAGGTGATGAATTTCTGCATTTTCTCACGTTCTTCCATCTTTACCAGCTGTTCCTAGAAGGGGAAAGAGTGGTTGCCAAGTACCATTCAAGCATTAGTGGCAGAGATGAGGTATTCACCCAACTGGAGCGAAGTGAGAACAGTCAGATAGAAACGCTTCCTGCGCTCTTCGTAAGCAGGTTAGTGTCCGGACCGCACTGGTGGCAGCGTTCTGAGAACCGCGGACGGCCGTGTAACGTGCACCTTTCCGTGTCCGTTACGCCGTGGAGCCTTCCAGCTGCCCCGTACCGCCAGGCTGAAGGCCTCAGCGGTCCTGGGTCTCGCGCCCTCCAGGCACACAGTCAGACTTCTGCCGTCAGCGTTTGCTCCTGGGGAGAAGCTGTCTCCTGCCAGGCTACCGCTGTGCAGAGCTACAGCCATCAGATTATGGGCTTGAACTTTGCCAGGACCTTAGGAAACTGGCAGTAGGCCCGGGGTCGCAGCTCGGCGGCCCAGCGCCTGCCTGTGTGCAGCGGTGTGACCAGCTGCTGTTGCTCTGTAGTGGTAGCGTGGACGCCTTCTGTTGGAGGGTCCCCTCGAGGCGCACATGCCGTCTGGCGTGCCTGTTTTGAGGGAAGAAGACAAGTTATGACGTTGCCAGGAAATTGCTGCATATACCTTAACATTATTTAAGAGTCAAAAATAGATTAAATGACTTGAAAAATCCGAATGCATTAGTTTTTCCAGTGTGCCAGAAAAGAGATGTATTTCCACACTTGCGAGAGAGAGTACAAGGCTCTTCGCTCGCCTGCAGTGGGCAGATGCTGCGCGCAGCCCGAGACGGCCGTCCTTCACCTGGCACGACCTCCCGTACAGCTCCTGTGAGCAGCAGGGCCCGTCAGTCCTTCACCTGGCACGACCTCCCGCACAGCTCCTGTGAGCAGCAGGGCCCGTCAGTCCTTCACCTGGCACGACCTCCCGCACAGCTCCTGTGAGCAGCAGGGCCCGTCAGTCCTTCACCTGGCACGACCTCCCGCACAGCTCCTGTGAGCAGCAGGGCCCGTCGTCTCAGCTGGTGTTGCTGCAGGCTCTTCTTTGGTCACTTGCCACCCACCCCGGTGGGTGCCGGCGTTCGGGACTAAGTTAGGTCCAGGTTTCTGGCTCAGCCAGAGCGTCTTCCACATTTCAGACAGAGGTGTTAAGACGCACGCAGGGGTGGGGTAGCCAGCCAAAGCCTGCTTCCGATGCAGCGATGTGTTTTGTTTCGGCCATTTAGTATGCCTTTCCCCATCACATAGGGTTCATTTCTCAAACGCCTAAAGCATTAGGTTTTAGTGGAGAAAAACATGTAATGAGGAGCAGTGTTAGGAAATCGTGGGCCATGCATTGCATCAGCTCTAGCAGGATCCAAAGGAGACTGCTGTGGAAGATGTAATTGGTGCGTCTGCCTTATGAAAGGTCGACGTTTGGCTTCTGGCTGTCAGTCTAAGCATATTTTAAAGACCAATTAGACGTGCGTATCATTTGGTTCCTTTTCACTAATGCCTTTAAGGTGAATTTGAATTGCCTTTGCTCTCAAAAATGAATATGTTACTAAAATAATGTCTGTACAAAACTATTTTTTGTAGGGCTGGAAAGTTACAGAATATTCTTTTTTGTGTTCCTTAAATTACAGAGTAATTGAAAGAAGTAATCTGCAAATAAGATTATATTGACGACTGGTAGCCAGCTAAATTTTCTGCAGTACATCCCAAGAATAGAGAAGAAATACTTTATGGGTGGGTGACTGTCTCACAAGCCAGACGTTCTTTACACTATATCCCTTTTACTCAGGAGAGTTGTCCTCATCTTCTCCTGTGTCTGTGAATCACCTTGAAAAGTTTGTGAAAAGTACAAACCCTTCCTTGGCCCAGACCTCGCCCTTGGACGTTTCGATCTTACCTGTGGTGGGGCCTGAGAAACAGAGCTCGTCAGCACTGTCCCTCGGTGCCTCTCCCAGCTGGGTGGAGGTTGCACATGCACCTTGTGTACGTGCGCAGTCCTGGCACACAGCTGTGGATGGAGCTGGGGAAGCGTGAACCTTCTTCACTTCTGCGGAGTGCTGTGTCTTGTCCATTTGCTAGAGACTCACCCACGACTTGGGAGGATTTGTGTCTTGAGCCCATACCCAGGCTTTCGTTTCATACATAAGAAGTTGGAGCTTCAGAGAGGTTAAATTTTTCAAGGAGAATCAGCTTGTTACTGATGTTAGAATCAGAAGTAGAGGCGACTGAGGTCTGACCTTGTAGAAGGTCACTGTTAAATGTGCAGTCCTGGGAGGCGTGGAGTCGATTTGGGAGATTCTTCCTTACAGAAGGTCAGTGAACCTAGAAAGGGTGATGGAATGAGAAAGTTCCCATTTGTAAACCCTCATTAAGAGTGCATTTTAAGCCTCAGTCATCAGACGTCGATATCACCCACGGGTTAGGGATCTTGACCATGGAGAACCCAGGCTGTCCCCGTCTGAGCTCACTAACCAACCTCAGCCTGACCAGAAATGTGACAGTCAAAAGTAGTGTTCCTCCATCACCTTTGAAATGCCCATGATTTTTAAGTTGAGCCTGAGTTCATTCATACCTTCAAGTTAACTTCTGTTTATAGACTATGGGGGTCCAAGTGAAGCAGGACTATACAGAGTAGATAAATCCAGAATGTGGGTTCTACTGTAGAACGGGTTGATAGGATCATGGAAAAATACTGGGAGGAACTAGATTTGCCCTTGTTTAGACAATGATTTAAAAAACAGCTGCAAGTAGACATTAAAGATAGACACCATGGATTTTGTCAGGTATGATATGAGGACTAAGGCTGCATAAGATGCCCCTTGCTTTTGGATGTCTGTGCAGTGATAAGCAAAGGTGAAATTACATGATATCTAGCAATTTTTAGAATAATTAAAAGAAAAACATGATGCACAAGTGTGGTAATATCGATACAACTTTTGAACATTGCTGATGGCTATGTTTATTGAACGATTTTTTAATTTGTGCATTTTCTTTATTTCTTGCATACTTGAAGATTTTTATAATGAAACCAACTGACTTAACACTGCACAGTCAGAAAAGCTGCAGGCCCAAGGTTTTGGTGAGATCTGTCTCATTCCGTGCATGTGGTTGGAGCTAAACGACTGCAGGCTGTGACCTGTTTTATGGGTTGAGTTTTCCTGGAATACAGCCATGCTTACTTACATTTTGTTTATAGCTGTTTTTCCGCTACCTTGTTGGAGTCGTGTAGTTTTACCCTAGACATTAAGCCTCAGAAAGCCTTAAGTAATTCCTCTCTGGGCCTTAATACAAAAGTTTGCTTCCTTCTGATTTATACATTCTTTCCAGCACTGCATATTTCAAGGCACTTCTTTCCAGTTCTCAACTGTGCCACGTTCAGCATTCACAAATAATGTTGTCATTACCAGGCGTGTGGGAGTCGTGTCTTCGTTCACTGAAGTAGACAGGGCCACTTCAGCAACTTCATGTTTCAGTTCGCGGCATCGTAGTGTAGTCTGAAATAAGCACTTCCCGTCTCTCTCTCAGTGTCCTGTGGAATGTTACTGGAAGGTTCTGTGGTTAATGGCAGAAGAGATGTTGTGGGCCACGGATAAGAGCCGTAGGGTGAGAGAAGTGTCCTTAGCTCACTACCAGGAATGTGAGTGCAGAAGCCGTACGCCTCCATCCTCAGGTTGTATTTATGTGGCGCCGTGGACGCAGCTGACCCTGGGACGGTGAGACCCATGAGGGCTAGCTCTGTCTCCCGCGTCACTGAAGGGGCACCTGAGCAGGTTTCTGGTAGGCCACGCGCTATCCGAAGCGCATCTGGGAAGCTGCACTTCATTTCTGTCTCACCTGGTCTGGATTCTTGGAGGTAGCATTTCATTTGTTTCTCTGTAATTATAACCCTTACACACTTTTTATCCATTGCCTATTTCTCAGATGTCAATAGCTATCCCCCTACGTTACAGAAATCTTGTTTGTGTGTACATGTGTGTGTGGAGAGGGGGTATTCAAGAAGATTTACAGTAACACATTGGTCCTAAAACAGATCAAGCTTTCTTCTGGTGCCTGGACACTACTTCATGCCTAACTGATGTTTGGCAGTGTTTTGAAATATATTCAGATGTCTTAAACTTTTTGACATATATAAAGTTGTCAAAATAGCAAGTTAGAGAATGTTTTATATTTCTGTAAGATGTGAACATCGTATAGAGATTATTTCACAAAAAAATATTTTGATGCTTTCTTTGGTTTGCATTTTGACATAAATAATTGGGATCAAAATAGTAGTAATAGTGTACATAAAGGAAAGCTAAAGCAGAAATGTGTTAGAACACTAAATACAGAGGTAAGAATTTGAAGCAGTTCATTGGATTATTACATGAAGAAATTGAAATGATTGTTCTATTTTCTAGATATGTTAGCCAGAAATATTTATTCTTAATTATAAAACAGTTATATCAATTTTTACTACATTATATCCAGGCAGGGGCGTGTTTGTTGTGCATTAAGAGAGAAGATATTTTTTGCGTTTATTTATTCATTGAGTGACTTGTTTATTTGACAGTATTTGTTAATCAGTTTTCATGTGTCTGGGTGCATCTAGTTGTTGGACAGAGGGAGTTGAACTTCATAGAACTTCATAAAATTTTTTTCTATCAGAGCTCATACATTCCTATAGTTCCTCCACTTGGAAAGGGGACTGCTTAGTTTTTTAAGCTGACTTTCATTGGGTATTGTCCAGACGGAGTTAGTCTTCATTCAAAGAAATCAGAAATTCGAACATAAAAGTCTCAGATTTAGAATCAATCTCATTGAATTTTGTTATGTGCATATTGTACGTTTCTTCATACTGATAAATAAGTAAGTCACAATTTGACTTTCATCTTTATTTTTTAGTTTAGCTTTCTTTCTGTTATTTTGAATGACCTTTCAGAAGTGAAACCCCTCACTGCGCGTGTTTAAGTGATGAAGGATCTCATCGTATGTGTGGTTTGTTTCAGGTTCAGGAAGATTTGACTGAAGAGAAGAAGCGGGAACTGGAGCCTAATGCTGAGGAGACCTATGGAGAAAATGATGATAACGTACGTGTGAGGGCAGCCTTGCCCTGAGCGCGTGTGGCGGGGGTGCGTTGCTGTAGACAGCTGCGTAGGCGGGACCGGCGCCCTCTGAGGTGCCTCCGAGTTCCAGCAGCCCGCCTGCCTTCAGGCTGTTGAGAGCGTGAAGGCTGGGAGAGGCTGCAGCCCTGTCTTCTGTTGGATCATTTTTTTTCACATTTCCTTTCCTCAAAAAGTGAACGACTTTGCATCCTTATTTAAAAAGAGAATTACTAATCACTAGTTCCACAGAGCATTTCTTAGTTTTTTTTTTCTTCTAACTTTAAGGCTGACGATAAAAACAACGATGGAGAAGAGCAAGACATCCAAGGGGAGAGCCGCCGCAAAGGTGGAGAAGAGCACTACGAGGAGGAGGAGGAGGAGGGGGAGGAGGAGGACGGGGCGGCTGCCCCTGAGAAAGCGCACGGGAGAGCGGAAATGTAGCTGTGCCCATTTCCAGGCAGTGCTCAGCCAACGGATTGTTCTCAGGCTGCTCTACGATAAATCTGCCTACTGAACTCCAGGATACTTAATTGCAAAAAATTAAGAATTTAGACTTTTTAAACTTTTTTATTAGAAATGCTCATACATTTATATGAATATATTTTGATAACTTAGGTTAGAACTTCTTTTATATTCAAGCTAAACACGTGCAAGGAGAAAACCAATAAACATACACATACCTTAGGCCCTGGGACTTATTTTTCAGGGATCATGTGATGTTGGAGGAGCATCGCTTTTGTGTATGTGTTGAGTTGCTCCTTTGCTGGCTCTGGAGTTCCATGTTCTGTTTGCCTTTGATAAAATACAGGATTTTATAGCAGGGAATAAGCAGAGCGCTGTGCACGCCTCAAGAGCGGCTAGTCTACTCACTGCCGCGCTTTGAGGTTCTTGTGTACGGTTCTGATAATTCTCACCAGTCTGCAGTTCTGGGATGAGCTCTGTATACAGTGACATGCAAGTAGAAACCCATTTTAGTTGCAGAGTAGAGATACTGTTTTTCAAATATTTTGGATCTGTTAGAAACATGTATGGTATTACTTAAAGTTGTAATGTTGAAAATGAGATGGTACTCAAACTCAGATGGCGGTGTCCTGATTCGAACGGTATCTCACTGTGTGAAAACGGGTGGTGCATCCGTGTCTTAACCTTCTTTAAGGATTGCTGACAGACTGAGTCAGCGGGCACACGTGGTATTTTCTACGTGAGCGCCTGTCCGCAATATGATTTTGGAGTCACCTAGTTACATGTTTATTTCAGTAGCTAGTTCTTCACAGTAGCATATATCTCCTTTAAGCTCCGTGCCTCAGTATATAGTCTCTTCTATGACAGTTATGAATATGAAGGCTCACCTAACTGTACAGTTTAATAGGATTATTTTTCAAAACTCTGTGGTAAAAAACCTTTCACAGTAGCATCGAGAAAAATGAAGTATTTCAGAATTAACCAAACCAAGGACGTGAAAGACCTCTATAGTGAAAACTGCAATACTCTGCAAAAAATATACATGGTAATGTGATAGAGCCTGGTGGCTTTTCTGTTGCCAGAAATATGAATTATATTAGGTCCCTTTAAAAAGAAAATTACACAGCCAAAAATTTCCACAGAAATACACATTTCAGGTACAGACAAAAAATGTTAAATATACAGAACTATGTTATATAATTCATATGTGTGGTTTTTAAATAAGTCTTCCAAAATAATTTGAACAAATTTCATTTTCTGCCGCTGTTGTATGAATGTAATTTGTTTTTTAATAACCACACTCATGTATGGTTTTATCCCCGGTGAGCAATTATGTACATATTCATAGGAATATTTTGTTCAAATATATTTTGGATTTCCAATAATCATAAATCAAATCTTACCTTTATGTATAAAAACTTTTTATGTAATGTAAAATGTATAATACTGTACATAATATTCAGAATACAATTATTTTGGTAAATTAGTTTGTATTTTTAATGTCCCAGCTGCCGTATTTAATTATTTGAAACATAACTTCGTAATAGTCAATAAAGCTATAAAAAGCAAGTGGTAAATCTCTAAAGTGTGTGATTTCTTATTAGTTTCTGGGCTTACAGCAGTCTTTAATTCTTTTTCATAGAATGAAATACTGTAAGATGTATGGTATCGATTATAAAATGCCTTTCCCAGCCTGCTCTTATTTTTCTTCTTTTTTCAACTTTGGCTGGCACTTGACTTTTCCCCTTTAACGAGAGAAAGAGCTGAGAATTTGTGTTGTATGTAGCAAGTTTTGGGGAAAGAAAAAAGAAATAATGTGTCATGTGCATACATATAACAAAAAATTACTCCCACCGGGAAAGCCATATCACAAACGGTTGCAGTCTGCATAAGGCACCATTAGAAGGCCACTCGAGCCAGAGTTTAGAGAAATGTGTCTGAGCGGATCTACGTTAATGAGCTGTGCGGAAATAAAATATCACTTGTTGTAGCCTGCCGGTGTATCAGTTTTGGTGCAGCCAAACCTTGGAGGATGTGGTACCAGTGATGTAATTAGAAGAAAAGGACATATTTTTTAGGAATGGGAAAGCACAGCCCAAAGAAACGGCACTGTACAAGTGTGATAGCTGGTTATCTACAAGACTGACCAGAAATAAACAGGCGGAGAGACCATAACCTCAGCCGCGAGTACCAGTGACTGCCCCTGCAGCGGAGAGACATAACCTCAGCCGTGAGTACCAGTGACTGCCCCTGCAGCGGAGAGACA